TTAGAAAATGCTTCTCTATGTTAAATCTAACCTTCAGATTGTGCAGATTTTTGGCCAAGATTGCCACAGAACTTGAGAGATTCGATTAAAAGTTTTTGAATCAACATGTTTGATGCTGCCAGGGAAAAAACGTAGAGGTAGTATCCAATCAGATAGCCATATCAATATGTTTCAACATAAAATGTACAAAGAAATCCAGTAGCACTGCTGAACCTAACTGATTTATTTCAGCATAATCTTCGTAGATAGACGTAAGCAGGGAAGTGGAAGAAGAGTGTAAAGTGTAGTGGAAATGCAAAATATATTGATGTGATGTAAATCTTGACAGTGATCGTGAAGAGTAACTAACAGTACAGAAGGAGGACCAGCCAAAGTTTTACAGAATTCCTCAAGAACAATTCTTCATATTTGAGAAAGCAAGTTTTTTTGTGTGCAAAATCCAGATTGATTCCTCTAAACAGGGTTTAATTATTTCTATTTTAATAGTCTTTATTATGATTTTTCTTGGGATACAGGCGGGTTGTAAAGCCTAAATAAAAATAGGCCTGTTTAATCAATGAAACTCTTGTAAATGCTAACTTATTGTGTTTCCATTGATTCATTGAGTTTGTTGTAGTGGGGATTAACAATCGTACTGACCCCCATGGGATATTACTAGATTGTTACTCCCAACATGCCTGGTGTGTGGTGAAGAATGCTGGAAGTTGGTATTAAGCAACATCAAGAGGACTGCATGATTCCTAGTTTGGCCTTTCTGCTCCCATTAAAATTAGTGTGTTATTCTGTATTTTTTTAAAAAATGTAGATGTTCCACACTTATTAAATGATCAGGAATGCGATATTTGAGTTCTTCTAAATTTTCTGGTGAACACCGTTCAGCTTGAGTGACTTGTACATTTTGATTTTTTAAATTCTAAAAATATTACCTTTCATCAGCTGCATTTAACATGTATTGAAATAATGTATTGTTATCCTCATCTATCCTGATTTCCTCTTCTATAGGAGATTAAAATAAATCACCTTTTCATCCTTTCTGATACCTGAATAGGGTATAGTAAACTTGTCTATAAGTAAACAATACAAATATGGGGATAACACAGTAGTTAATCCCCTCCTTTAATAATCACTAAAGTACAGATACATAACTGTCCCTTCCTTTCTTTCATAAAGCAGATAGAAATAATTAATGTTGCTTCTCTACAGTTTTCCTCTTTACTTTCAGTAGTTCTTTTTATCTCTTGTCATCTGATCATTTTAAACTTCTGATGTGTTGGGATTCATTTGTGTTTTTTCTTTGCATTTATTGTTGTTTTGCCAGGATGTGCGCTCTCTTCTACTAATTTTCCTTATTTGGGGAAGATGTGTACATTTCAAAAGGGAACCCACTTGCCTTTTATGGCTTCCTTGTATTCAATATGTAATCTTGTTGGTATTCTCTTGGTATTATTTGTCATCTTTTTCATTTCTGGCATATATTTTGTCTGAGGTTCTATAATTCTGGCCTAAATTATTAGATGTATGGGGACTGGAAAGGGAGAGCAGCATAAACTGTAATCTGTTGTGTGGCGGCCTTCTCCTACTGCAGTTGCATTGTCTGGATCTTGCCATATCCCACAACTGTGGATAAGATCGGAGACAATTGCTGCTACTGCCCCTGCTAGTGTGGAAACATCAATCCAACTGGGACTGAATGGAGGCCTCATCCTCTCTGTGACTCTGACACAGCTCACCCCCTACCTAAGTTTCAGCAGCTGAACGGCATTGCTGAGATGAAGAGGTTAAAGTCTCCTTCACCACCCTAGGGTGTATGTGCAGATGCATGTTTGTAGCCATTTGTGTATATGTGTACGTGCAATGTCCCAGCATCCTATGGGAACTCTGGTGCAGTCCTTGGGGCTGATAATGAGTCCCCCTAGGGGTGAGAAAAGTGGTATATAAATGCTGCAAATAAATAAATAAATAAATAAATAATGTTATAATAATAATGTAATAAACTTTGATGGCCAAAAGCAAGGAGGAGCTGTTGAGCCTTCTAATCAAGGTGAACGAAGAAAGCGCAAAAGCTGGGTTGCGGTTAAACATAAAAAAACCCCAAGATTATGGCAACAAGAATGATTGACAACTGGGAAATAGAGGGAGAAAACGTGGAGGCCATGACAGATTTTGTATTTCTAGGTGCAAAGATTACTGCAGACGCAGACTGCAGCCAGGAAATCAGGAGACACTTAGTTCTTGGTAGGAGAGCAATGACCAATCTTGATAAAATAGTGAAGAGTAGAGACATCACACTGGCAACAAAGATCCGCATAGTTAAAGCGATGGTATTCTCCATAGTCACCTATGGATGTGAGAGCTGGACCATAGGGAAGTCTGAGCGAAGGAAGATAGATGCTTTTGAGCTGTGGTGCTGGAGGAAAGTTCTGAGAGTGCCTTGGACTGTAAAAAGATCCAACCAGTCCAAATAAAGCCTGACTGCTCATTGGAGGGAAGAATAGTAGAGTCCAAGATGAAGTACTTTGGCTACATCATGAGAAGAAAGGAAAGCTTAGAGAAGACAATGATGCTGAGGAAAATGGAAGGAAAAAGGAAGAAGGGCTGACCAAGGGCAAGATGGATGGATGGTATCCTTGAAGTGATTAGATTGACCTTGAAGGAGCTGGGGGTGGTGACGACCCACAGGGACCTCTGGCGTGGACTGGTCCATGAAATCACAAAGAGTCAGAAATGACTGAACGAATGAACAACAACAAATAATAATGTTGTATACAACTGATCTAAATCTACATTATTTTGGGCATATAGAGTAAAACCATCAGCAATTATAACTTTTCATAGTTAAAAATTATAACTATCACATAGAACATCAATTTCTCAGCAGTTTTCTAATTAGCAAATTGTTGCCTCCATTTTTTTCCCAAAATGGAGGTACAATCATTTGTCCACAATAAATATATGTGCATGTGGGTATGGGTGTGTCTGTTTTTGCTTTCTTATGTATTGTAATTTTCTGAGTGTGATTTTTAAAATGTTTCTCTATATTTTATTCCTTTTATTGGCTTTTTCTTTCCATTGCTACATGATTAACTTCTGTTGGGTCTGCATTTTGAGGACATGGAACATTACAACATATTCACAAAGGATGCTTTTTATATTAGGAAATGAGCTTAGAAATAATGAGATTTCTGAAAAAACTTGATTTCTCCATTTATGAGATTGAGTGTGGATATATATAAACCTGATATCTGAGTATAACCCTTTAAACTGTTGTTTCTCAGTAAAGGTTTTGCGTGCAATAATGCTCTGTAAAGTTATTCAAATATTTATTCATCTTCATTGGTGTATGTTTCTTAGCCGGTGAAAAACACACTCAGATTCGGCCATTCTTCAAGGAAACATTTTACTAGTTTACTAGTTACTATCTTAAAAAGATGTTGAGGAGCCGTGCAGGTTAGCTTCTTATGGATGATGCTGTGATAATAGCTTCCTAGGAACTTTCTCTTCTACAATATGCATTCTGCTTAGCTGTTGAATGGAACGGTTTCCTCATGGTCATCTCAAGTTGCTGATGTGCAGTCTGATAAAGTTCCATTCTTTCTGTTCTTTCCCTTGTTCTTTTAAAAGATTAATATCTTGAATGTGTTTTTTCCCCTTGAAAGATTGAATACTTGATAAAAGAGCATCGGGTTTATTGGATTATTTCCAAAACAAAATAATATAGACTTTCAAAAATCATTTAAGTACAAAGAGAATTGGAAGACTTTTTTTTATCACACATGGGTTTGGAATAGATATACCCATGTGGCAAATCAGCATTCTCCATATCTGTAAATAAACTTGCTGTAGGATTGTAAGTCTTGGAATGGAGTCCATTTGAATGGAGTCCATTAACTCATCCATTTGTCTGAATTTTGCTGTTGCATTATGCTGGCTGATTAAATCATTTCCATTGAGCAATAGATTTTTCTTAACATTTTAAAGCTCTTGCACACACAGCCTCAAAACCACACACAAAATCCCCAGCACTATGGTCAGTGTTACCTTTGTAATACAGCATGCCAGCAGGAAATACCAGTTTATCTGGACTTAATTATTAAGCATCTACAATACACATTCAGAATATAAAAATAAAAGTGCTTCTTTCATTTCAATTATAAGGAGCAGTTGTGGTCAGGGCAGGACACAAGGGAGTGGTGTCTAAGAAAAGCTGTTAACTTGTTTCTGTCCCGTCCCCCTCAAACAACACATTTATGAGCATTAGGATTTTTTATTAACGGAATTACAGTTAATAAATTCTGTAACCTATCCCTGTAATGTTGAATGATTTGTGACAACCGTTTGTGGCGTGTGTGTTTGTGTGCATGTAATCATAACTTTATCATAAGTTACCTTGACTGGGATTTCTCAGTGTCCCCTAAAGAATAGGAGTCCTCCGTATTACTTAGGTGGTGTTGCTGTATTTTCATTTTTGACCTTTATGTAATTTTAGACACTTAAGACAAGAACCTATCATGCGGGATTTCTCAGCAAGAGGAGTTGGCTGAGGTCGAGATGATATGACTTGCCAAAACAGGCAAAGCTATAGAATGCAGGTTGTAATGTGTGAAGGTGGAAAACAGGAAGGGATGTGTAAGAGGTTCAGCCTCAGTTTTAGCAGTTGGTGAGTTAATTTACAATTGTTGTTGGGATGAAACAATTGTGAGAGGAAGACAAATCTAGGTTAGCAAGCGTTTCAATCATATGTCAAACAGTAACGTATTTTGTATACAGTAGTGCAACTTGATGTGCTGTTAAGATATTGAGGCCAGTTTTATATACAATATGATCAGCATTGATATAAATATATTATTATTATTCATTGCATATAGCTAGCACATTTGTACTGTTGGAATGAAGGAAGGCTCGACTAATGAAATGAAAGTTGCATTTTAGGGATTGGGTTCTTTGTATTTCACCTTTTAAATGATCCTCTTTCTTCTCCTCTCCCCTCCCCCTTGTTGCAGGTTGCTATGGGAATCTTATGATAATCTGAGAGGAAGTAAGTCCCCGGTAACATTGCAGTTACTCATGATGTGCCTGAAGTGAAGAGGAAGGGAAGCACTTAACATATCGAAGTGCCAAGACTCTGCTGTGTCATGGCTACAGACTCTGGTGAATCAGCTAGCACAGAGGAATCAGAGAAACCTGATGGGGTTTCTTTGGAAAGTCGGGCCCCCTCTGTTGATGCCGCTATGACCATGGAGGCCAGGACAAAGGAGAGTGTGGGTACACCATCTGCCTCCGGGGCAACTACAGAGAGGAAAAGGTTCTTCCGAAAGAGTGTGGAGATAATGGAAGATGAAAAAGTTTTGGAGCCTGCTCCCAGGGATGAACAAGAACAATTCATGGTCGGTGACCAGAGGATGGATCATCTTTCAGCAAGCATCCTGGTGACCGGGCAGGAGGCCAGAAATGAGCAGGGTTCAAAGGTGAATTTAGAAGCCTTGAAGGAAAGGACCAAGAAAGAGATAGAAGAGGAGGCAGAGATGAAGGCTGTGGCTACATCACCAGGTGGAAGATTTCTGAAATTTGACATTGAGCTGGGAAGAGGAGCCTTCAAAACGGTTTTCAAGGGTCTGGACACAGAAACCTGGGTAGAAGTTGCTTGGTGTGAACTGCAGGTTAGTAGAGATGACTCATGTATTTGTGTTTCTTTGGTGCATAGAATTGACTATCTAGTCCAGTGGTTCTCAACCTGTGGGTCCCCAGGTGTTTTGGCCTACAACTCCCAGAAATCCCAGCCAGTTTATCAGCTGTTAGGTTTTCTGGGAGTTGAAGGCCAAAACATCTGGGGACCCACAGGTTGAGAACCACTGATCTAGTCCAACTCTGAAAATGTACATTTGGAGATGTCCAGAAATATATGACTAGCCTGATCATTCTGAATAGCATGGAATTTTAATCTTAATGCAAATTCAAGGAGATTGAGAAATTTCAGCATACTTTTCTAAAAAGAGCAAATTCTTAGTCTTCCTGGTTACATAAAACAACATTTGCTAATTTCTGTCATATACTTAAAAGGTAGAAAGGATCTGTAACACTTGTGATACAGGCCCCAAAGCATGTAGTTGTTGCCACCCCTGCATGTCATTACAACTTACGAAGTGTGTGTAACATTTATGTCAGTTTTTACTCAGTCATTGACACAAACTGGGAAGACACCCAAACTATTCAATGCTAACTAACCCACCCCAAACAAAATTTCCCAACAAATAATTCGTATGGCCGAGTAACGTGCCTGTGTTGATTACTCCCAGGCAAACTTAGAGCAATTCATTCTAGTTGCAAAAATGGATTTCACTGTGATTCAGAACTTTTTAATGCACAGAATGTTATGCCTCCATCATTTCACTCTTTTCCTCTGTTAGAATCTCAGCTGAGTTTGAATGCCTTCATCTGAACTTTTTATAGTGTAAACTCATTTGCGAATATAATTTTTCTTTGGTCGCAAGCTGAATTATTTTGGAAAGGTGTGAAAAAAATAACTGCTGAAGTGCATCATTTATATGTTGGTTCCCAACCTAAGCAGATACTTCTTCATACCAATATCATTTAGCATTAGCAGTTGCTAGTAATGTATCTGCCATTTTTCTAGGACTGTGCTCAATGTATCTGTGGATATAAGGCTAGTGCAGGCATGGGCAAATGTTGGCCCTCCAGGTGTTTTGAAATCCAACTCCCATAATTCTACTGGCTGTTAGGAATTGTGGAAGTTGAAGTCCAAAACATCTGGAAGGCCAAAATTTGCCCATGCCTGTGCTAGTGCCTATTCAAATGTCTCTTTTCAGCTAATGTTATGCAATCTTTTCTTTGGTGTCTTGCTTTGTCTGTCTGTCCTTACCTTATAACACATCTGTATCCATACCTCAGACCACAATTTCCTGGCTCTCTTCCTTTCTCTCCTTTTCAGCTGACTATTTTGAGCCAAACATTTTTGTTTTGTAATAGTAAACAGTCATAAGGCAGTATCTAATTCAGTTAAATATGAAACTCATTTTTCTCTTCATAATGTACTTTTCTCTAGGTGGATTTGCCTTTTGTCCTCATGGTAGTCATGCTTTAGAATAGATAAACACTTATAGTAGATAGCAGGTAAATGCATGCTAAAGACTATTCAGAAGGAAAGTGACATTTTGAAGCAAGCTAGGTCATTACTTGTTTTTTCTTTGTCATGAAAAATTGAGTTGAGCATTTGTGATTCGAAAACAGTGTGTGGTTGTTTTTTTCCCCCACATACCCTGCAGCGGGTGGCGGAATAACTAGTGTATGCCTAATAATTGGTTTAATCTCCTCCTCAGCTAGTTCAGCCTAATGTTGTCAGAATTTTCCATGCCATGCATCTAAATAGCTCATCTGCAGTGCTGGCTGGTTTTAAAGCAAAGCTAATGCTGTGTTGTTTTATCAGTTACAACAGTCATTGATCCAGCATCAGGATCTATACTCTTTCTGCCAGCATTATGCTGAGAATGTTACAGTGACCATTTATTTAAAGGATCTTTAATGTGACATTAGACAAGATTTTTAGTGTATTCATTACAAGCAGTCTCCAAGTTACAAACATCAGACCTACAAATGACTCCTAGTTAAGAACAAGGGTGAGACCACAAGAAATGAGAGAAATTCCTACCTGTGGGAAGGGATATTCACTCCTGGAAGAGTTATCCTGGGGGAAAAGTGTCTCAATTGAAACTTTATCACCTATTCATGTTTCCATAACAAGCTATTTTTTTTCCAAAATCACAGGGACAGAAAGAGAGGGGAAATCGTCTGAACAAGGGCACAGACAGCAAAACAAATAACCCACTGTATGAAAGTTTGAGCATTCTTTACACTTTTCTTTTTCTTTGCTCTGGGGATATAAATTGATTTTTCCAATCTGATGGCCATTCTTCTGTTTTCCATATTTGCTGGTATATGGAATGCAACACCTTGACAGCATCATCTTTCAAGATTTTAAACAGTTCAGCTGGGATCCCGTCATCTGCTGCCTTGTTGTTAGCAATGCTTCTTAAGGCCCATTCAACCTCACTCCTCAGGATGTCTGGTTCTAATTCACTTACCACATTGTCAAAGCTATCCTCGATATTATTATCCTTTTTATACATATCTTCTGTATAGTCTCACCACCTTCTCTTGATCTCTTCAGCTTCTGATAGGTCTCTGCCCTCTTTGTTTTTGATCATGCCCATTTTTGCCTGAAATTTACCTCCAATGTTTCTAATTTTTTGAAAGAGGTCTCTTGTCCTGCCTATTCTATTGTCTTCTTCCGCTTCCATGCATTGCTTGTTTAAAAATAGCTCCTTATTTTTTCTGGCTTACCTCTGGAATTGTGCATTCAATTGGGCATATTTCCCCCTATCACTGTTTCCTTTTGCTTTCCTTCTTTCTTGGGCTACTTCCAGTGTCTCAGCAGACAACCATCTTGCCTTCTTGGTTTTGTTTTTCTTTGGGACGTACTTTGTTGCCGCCTTCTGAACAATGTCGCAGACTTCTGTCGATAGTTCTTCCGGCACTCTACTTATTAAATCTAGTCCCTTAAATCTATTCTTCACCTCCACTGCATATTCACTAAGAATGTTAGTGAGATAATCTCTAACCGGTCTCTCTGTTTTCCCTATTCTTTTTAATCTGACTCTAAATTGTGCAATAAGAAATTCATTATCTGAACTACAGTCAGCTCCAGGTCTTTTTTTCACTGACTGGATGGATGTCCGCCACCTTTGGCTGCAAAGTATGTAGTCAATCAGATTTTGGTATTGACCATCTGGTGAAGTCCACGTATAAAGCTGTCTTTTAGGTTGTTGGAAGAGTGTGTTCATTATACACAGTGAGTTTTCCTGGCAAAATTCTATCAGCCTATGTCCCACTTCATTTTGTTGACCCAGACCTTGCTTTTAAAGCTGTAAAGTGCAGTTATTGTGGTGTAGTCGACTGTGGGACAGGATGCCAAGTCAGGTGAATGGAATCTCTATAGACCACTGAGACTCCTCCTCGCTACCCCCTGGGTCTTGCCTGCTAGTGCACACTGAGGCCTGAAGGACAAAGTTGAGAGAGATTTACACCCCCTTCCTTCGTCCAACCAGATGTCAGTAATGCAAACCAGGTTGGTGTGCTCATCCAAGATTAAATCTTGGATGGCTGGCATTAATCGACCTGGCATTAAGCAGTAGGATTTTCAACCCAGGGGGCCTGCCATCTTGGTTACCTGGACTATTTGTGGATGGGGACGGACCAGGGACCACGAGCTGCCTCCCCCTTTTTCCACATCTCTGTTGTCTCAGCAACACAGGGATGGAAAAACCCCTACCACATGGAATTCCCTCCAGCTCTACATTATTTCTCATCTCTCCTTCAGTGTTGACTATCAGGTGGGATATTCTTTATATTGCACAATTTCACAATTAACCAATGGTTCTAAATCAGGGCATATACTATTCTAGTAGATGTTAGTAGTCTGACAACACAAACGCCCTCTCCTTCCATCCCATCTCTCTCTCCATAATGTCCCCAGCCCTTTTAGACCCTCTCCCTGATCACCTGGTCCTCATAGATCACAAAATTCTTTGGGCACAAATTGAGTAGAGTAGTATTGTCCTGGGTCTTCGTGAGGGATGGTAAATATGGTATGAGGTTCTTGGTGGGGCAAGAGGGAGAGTTTTGTCCAAGGATAACAGCAAGTATCTAATGAATCTGGTGAAAGCTCTGAAGCACACAGGTTTTATTAGTTGTAGTATCATGGGTGGAATGTGCAGAGCCCAAAAACTCGTCAATTGTAGTCAGTAAACCAATAGTAGCCAGCAAGGGGTGGATAAAAGACAGTAGCAGACTCCTATCTCTAAGATGCTAAATGATAAAAAATATATTGTCTAAAGCTGTAAAGTGCAGTTATTGTTGAGTAAGTAAGCAAGCTGAAGTTTGATTAGTGGAGGTTCAAATCTGAGGTGTGCGGTGAGCTCCTGCCGTTATCCCCAGCTTCTGCTAACCTAGCAGTTCAAAAACATGCAAATGTGAGTAGATCAGTAGGTACCGCTCCAGCGGAAAGGTAACGGTGCTCCATGCAATTATGCTGGCCACATGGCCTTGGAGGTGTCTATGGACAACACCGGCTCTTCGACTTAGAAATGGAGATGAGTACCAACCCTCAGAGTCAGACACGACTGGACTTAATGTCAGGGGAAAACCTTTACCTTTACCTAGTTGGAAAAATATATTGGAATGCCACATTGTACTCCATCCTGAAACAAGAGTTTACATTTGAAGCATTTTATATATCCCTTTAGGGCTTTCCATGCAACCCGTTTGGGTGTTCAATTCTCGGGAACTATATGACAAAGATTTTTCAAGCAGAGCTCTTACTTCTAGTCCTTAGGCCAAAGTTTAAAGCTGTATGGACCCTGATTTACTGCTCATTCTTGGGTGCCACAAGACTCAGTCACTCAGTCACATTTTTAGTCACGCTGGAGCAGATACCAAAAACAATTGAAAACGCATTAAAAACTCCACATAATTTGCCAAAATAATAATATGGATGAAGGGTAGTACAAGTCTAGGCTATGCATGGTAAAATAACTTACTATTACCAAACAACAGTTGTAGTAGGTAGAATCTTCTGCTTTGTTTT